CGGTCAATACCACTCTTGAAATATACTGTTTGACGGAGCTCGTGGCTCAGCCTGTAATCTCAGTGCTTTGGGAGGCCGACGTGAGTGGATTGCCTGAGCCCGCGGGTTCGAGGCCTGCCTGGGCAACTTGGTGAGACCTCATCTCTACAATAAATCAAAAATTAGTCGGGCATAGTAGCACGCGCCTGTAGCTTCAGCTGCTTGGAAGGCTGAGGCGGAAGGATCGCCGGAGCCCAGCAGGTAGAGACTGCCGAGGCCGGGAGCGGTCACTGCACTCCGGCTGGGTGACAGTGAGACTCCAACTCAAAAAAAAAAAAAAAAAAAAAAAAAAAAGGAAAGAAATATACTGTTCAAAAATGATTAGAAAAGTCAACTAGCTAAGATATAGGGCTTCCAATTCATTTTTTTTGGTTTGTTACTTTTCTTTTCTTTTTTTTTTTTGAGCCAGAGTCTCACTGAGTAGCCCAGACTGGAGTGCAGTGGCCGCTCCCGGCCACCACAGCCTCGACCTGCTGGGCTCCGGCGATCCTTCCGCCTCAGCGTTCCCAGTAGCCGGAATTACAGGCATGCGGTACCACGCCCGGATGATTTTTTGATTTATTGTAGAGATGAGGTCTGGCTGCCCAGGCGGGTCTCGAACCCGCGGACTCAGGCAATCCACTAACCTCAGCCTCCCAAAGGCACGGGATTATAGGCTGAGCCACCAAGCCCAGCTCATTTTTCTGTTTCTTAATGTAATGCTGCTTTTCCTCACTCAACAATAATTGCATTTATTTGGCACTCACTAAGTCCCATACACCATGTGTTGACTCAGGTTATCTTCCCACTGACCTCATATGTGAGCACTATTTACCCTCTTCCCCAGGCATATTCCCACTACTGCCATTCCTGCCTCCTGTTATTTTAGAGATTTGAAAGAAAAATATTGGCATTTAGTGAGCACCTACTATAAGACAGTGTTCCTGCTTTAAATGTGTGCTGTGGGTAATCTTCAAGCAAATCCACACATTAAGCTACATTTGACAGATAAGGATAAGACATATAGACTCCAAACCCGGGTATGTAGGTATTTATATGTTTATTGATCAATAGTATGGTTTATCTTTAAAATATATTAAAAATTTATTCCCCAAGGATGTGTTTGAGACACTTGAATATGGATGTGATGGGTGCATTGATTGACATAGTATTTTTCACCTTTTTCATCTACCTATAATTTTTAACTTTGTTATTTTAAACTGTGTTTCACTACATACTAATTTATCTTAATTTTATCTGCTAAGCTTTTTATTGAAGGTCATAAAAATTAAGTAAAAGAGACATTAGGTAGCAAAATGATGGCAGACATTCATATATGATTAAGGAGAGAAAATAATTATAATTCAAAAAGACAGTTCCAAATTGCCTTACCTTTCCAGGTACCACATTTCTTCACATCTAAGGTGGCATCGCTGATTGCAACACATGCCATTATTTCATGTGCCATTAAGAAAACAAGCATTAACAGTGAGATGGTGAGATGATATCCAGTGTAACACGCAAAATGATCTCAGCGATGGAAAACGTAAAAACCTGCATTTCTTGGCTGATGAAACTCAGCAAGTTTAATTCACAACCATCAAACATTTTAGTTGGGGAAGCAATAGAAGTGAATTTTTTTTTTTTTTTTGAATTGGGATCTCATTCTGTTGCCCAGGCTGGGGAGATCACAGTTTATTGCAGCTTTGACTTCCTGGGCTGGGGAGGTCCTCCCCCCTCGGCCTCCTGGATAGCTGGGAATTTTTTTTTTTTTTTGGTAGAGGTGAGGCTTTGCTATGTTGCCCAGGCTGGTCTTGAACCCCTGAGTTTGGGCAGTTCTCCCACCTCAGCCTCCCAACGTGCTGGGATTACAGTTGTGAGCCACCATGCCCAGTCAAAATAAAATATAATTAAAAAATGTTCACATCTTCACATTTTTCAGCTAGATGGAATTTAACAGGCATTTAGTTCATCTTCTTTATTTGAGCCAGAATGAAACTGAAGCCCATACATAAGAACAAACATTTTCCCTCCAAATCCAGTTGGTGAAGAGCCAGGACTTGAGAGCAGCCTGAGCTTCCAGTTTTTTCTCTATGCAGGTGTAATGTTGTCCATGATAAGTATACAATTTGTATGTGGCTACTGTATATACATTAAGAGAGGGTTTTAGAGTAAAGGCATAATTTAAAGAAACATGTTGCTAGCAGGAGAATGCCTAATATGTAGAAAATTGGATGCTATCATGATCCGTTCCCCTCCTGCTCTATTTACAGAGAAAAAGACCAATCTGACATTTAGAAATAGAATTCTGGTCTTTCCGCAAATGTCTTAATCATTTATAAAGTCAAGGTGATTAAGTCATCTAAAATTACTATTCCAAGCTACCAAAAAGAGAAATTTCTCTAATATGAAAGATATGTTGCAGTCTTTACAAATACCAAGAACAATAGAGAACAAAACCAAGGAAAATGTAATGGGGTGTGTTTTGCTTGAACACTTTCTTGAGTTTTACCTGATTGTTAATTTTTGAGATAAACTTCTGAGCAAGATACTGGAAAGTTTGTTCAAATAATAATCTTTCCAAGCCATATGAATCTATAAAATGCATATAGTGAGAAGCTCATTTTATTCTAAATGAGCTTTTTTATGATATTACTGAACTTCTGTATGATGTTTCTAAAATGATGACTGAGAAAATAAAATAAATATGCTTTATGAGCATTAAAAAATTACCTCACCTCAAGAGGGAAGACATATATAATATATACAGCCAATGCTTAAAATGTTATATTTTTGAAGTGTTCATTGACTCAACCATCAAAAAAGTTTCATGAAACCAAGTTATAATGCATGAAATATTTTTAAGACAGAGATTAAACTGATATTATTTTGTATAACAATGTGTAGTATAATAAATGAAAATATCTCCTTTTATTATGTTAACTTCCATATCAGCTATTACATCTAAAAAAATGTCAAAAAGGAAAAGAAGCTACAAGGAGCTCATACTGTCGTTTCTTTATATCTTCATACCACTCTAAATATTCTGAGTTTTCAAATTTTCTTACTTCATCTGAGCTATGTATGATATGATCCAGTGCATTTTATTCATCATGAACAAGAAATGAGAAATACATGTGAGCCAATCTAGTCAACTGTTAAAATTCAAAGGCAAAAATTGGGCTAATCATGTGTGTGCATGTGTGTGTGCATACTTGGTGTCAGGCAGAAAACACATGTGACTGATGGTGACTGCTTGGTTTGGCTTGGTTCCGTTCCCCCAGTTGTCAGGGATCTCTAGAAGTTAACTGTGGATGGGGCTTTGGAATATCTATTGCATACAGCAGTGACATCACTACTTTTATATAAAACATTATCAAAATGTGTGTTTCAAAACATGTTTGGTTACATAATTCTGAAACACTGTCAGCAGGGCATATGGATCAATGTTTACAAGTTACTTTTCACATCTATTCAGCATCATATAAAATAAAAATATTGTAAAAATGTATACAGAAAATAAAGTACTATTAGCAGCTGTTTTATTAACTAAATGGAAAACCTTTGGTAATGATTTTGATATTTTGGTTTGATTGATTTTATTCTGTTAATGATTGGGAGCAATATAGCTTGATCAATACTGAAGTTTGAGATGTTGATTTTACACCCAGTGTGTTTCTCCAGCACCACTGTACATTCAAGCTGTCATGCTGCACGTGCTTAACATGAAGGCAGCCAGAAATGCCCAAACCAGATTTTGGATCTATCAGGAACACTTGATATTCTTCCACTTTTGGAACATTTGTATGTTTCCACTCCTTTCCTCTGTTTAATTTTTAATGTGTTGTGATTCAGTGTGTCTTGTTGTTTTTGACTTACAGGTATGCTTCCTAAATAACACAGATAAATGAAGTTTAAAGTATAATCCTTAATATGATTTTACACCTATGAATTAGAATTCAACTTAAGAGAGAAAACAAGATTAGAATGGTTGAATTCCTTTAAATTAAAATGTTCCTTAAGATTTTGGATTTGTATGAAGAATTTACATTGGGGTTCAGAATATTTCGTTTTTATTTAAATTACATCTAGAAAACATCTTCATTTGATTTATTCTAATGGAGATTGTAACTACATTGTGTTTTGGGTGAGAGTTAAATTTATGGCCTGCCTTCACACTTCTTGATTATTTTGTTCGTGATTATCTTGCTGACTGAGAATCTCTAGTGCCTAGAATAGTCTTGGACTTATTTTAGATGCCCAATATTTATATTTTGGAGGGATGAATGTACAAGTGTAATTGTATTCAGTCAAAATGTTCAAAATGTATTAAATGATGATCAGGAGACCTAATACATGTCACAAATAAAACTTTCATACACATACATACAAGCATATATTGTATACAGTGTATGCTAAGTTTGATAGTGTAAATATTTTTAATTTTGTATTTATTATTGAATTAGCTGCTTCCTTGGAAGTCTTAAGATAACACAGCTCTAAAAAGTAGCCTATCTTCAAGATCACTATATTTGTTATTTTAAATTCATTTGCTAAACTTCTGTATGAAATTGTTTTTGTCTTTTCCAAACCAATCCATAAGTTATGTTTTGTAATTCTTATACCTCTGTTAATAGAGCAGGATATCTGACCACTCTTCAAAAATGATGTTGCTATAGACATTAGTCAAGCATGTATGGCACCACAAAACTGGTTTTAAAAATACACTTTTGACAAAGAAAATGATCTATTTTTCAGTGTTATGACACATGACACAAATGAAAATGAACCAACAAACAAACATAATATATAACCTATTCTGAAAAACAATATTCAAGATGCCACAAGCTCTGATTTTGACATTCTAAAGTTATAGGAAACTCTCCTAGCTAGCTTGTGATGCATTCATTTTAAAAATCAAGAAATCAATGTAAAACCCCTCATACTTCTATGTGGATATCACATAAACCATTAAGTCACAGTTTAATTTGGTTACAAGATTCTTTATTTTGTAAACTATACATAAACAGTAAAAAAGAAAATGCATTATACTTTAAATATTACATAAGGTCAACATTAAAGTTTTCATTTAGTGGGTATAAATTAAATGGAAATAATCCACCAATTTTGCTTTCAATGAATTGTAAACTGGGAAACCAGATGGTCCACTGTTGAAATTAAAGATACCAATGTGCAACATTCAACAAGTTTTTCCATTTTTACTATGGGCACAAAACCATTGGTCTGATATACTTAAAAGTGATGGTGTGCCAAAATGTCTACACAATTAATTAACATGCTAAATTAAATAGAGTTTAAAGTAATTTTCTCTACAGTTAAATCTTAAATGCTACTCTACACAATAATCATAAACAAGTCCACATGGCAATTATGTAACAATAAAAAAAGAAAGAAACATACTCCATTTTCTTCATTCCAGCAGCAGTACCTTTGCTGATATTAATTTGTTAATTAGGTAGATGTGCTTATATATTGCCTAATAGCCTATATTGGTATGCATGCTAAAAACTTTCTATTTCTATTTTTGCAAGACCCCATACAATACATTCTCTAAGTTTTGGCACTACTAACAAAAATGGCATGATTCTAAGATTAATTATGCAAATTTTGACCTAAAATAGGAAATAAATAAGGATTAAGGTTTCAAAATTTGACGTTGGACCAAATGACAAACTTTTTGTGAAAATACAGTTCAAATGAGTTTTTCCTTTTGTCTCCCCAATTTAAATTCTGCTCTCTAAATTGCTGGTCAGAAAGGTAAAGAAATCTAGTAAGGTACATAAATCATGCTACTAAAGAATATCTCAAAAATCTACATGAGATTGCCATCTAAATTAAAATACATATCAGAAAAAACAACTAAGATCTTAACTTTCAGAATCCATGGTTTTCCACTTGCCATTCTGTAAATATCCTATCATATCCATAAAAATTTCCAAGGGAAACACATCACTGTTGATGTAAACATGACAGAGGACTCTACTACTACAACCTTGTTTTTCTTGCCGCGTGGTATCTCTCTTAGTCATCCTGACTCACTCTAGGTTCTGGAGGATGCTACTTTGGAAGTGCGATTAAGATCATGCATAATTTTACAAAATCCTTGGGGCTCAGTTCTCTATATCTTATTTATTGTAAATTTAACTTAGAATTATCTTTCAGAAAAATAGCAAATACAGTCCCAAGCACTGGTTGTCATTTTGGGTGTGGGAGATTTGCAAAGTTTGTTCCTATGAAAAATTTATTGTAGTAGCTCTTCAAAACTTTCTTTTGTCTAGCTAGACTCCATGTATGTTTTCTTTTTCTGTAAGTCATATAAAAACTGAAAGTAAATGATTCTTACTTAAACATAAAGTTCTATCACTTTAGCTGCAATATTTGAAATAATTATACAAAATATATGTGAGGTGTAGAATCATTTTGTTTTGGAACGAGAAGGTAATTCTCAATAGGCTATCACTTTTTTAATATTAGAAATAAAGAATTTATTGATCTCAGCTGTCATCAATCAAATGTAACCATCATGGTCATCCCCATCATCGTCATCATCCCCTTCCTCTTCATCATCATCTTCAATTTCATCTTCATCATTTGTAATATCATCGTCATCATCATCATTATCAGTCCAGTCACGGAAATCTCCACTTGCAAAATCTCCAGAGATCTCAAAATCGATAGCTTAAAAAAAAGTAAACATTACCTTCATTTGACTGAGTAGTGGGATAGTTTCTGAGAGATAAAAACTCTGATAAAAATTAAAGAAATTTTAAAAAATAAGGAAAAATCTATTCTCTAGGAAACTGTCACATGTTAAAACTCTGTCATTTGTTAAGATGTATGTGCAGAATCATTATTAAGATGTGCTATGGAAGAGTTCTGGCCCTGTAATATTGATTTCAGTCTGATTTTCATAGATGTTCATGTCAGACTTTGCCTTTTGCAAAGTATTTGCAGTTTCTCCTGCAAGTGTGGCAGAATAATTGCCTCCCAGAGATGCCCACTTCCTGATCCCCAGAACCTATTCATTTGCTACCTTGCATGACAAAAGGCCTTTACAAATATGATGAGGTGAAAGACCTTGATCTGGAGAGCTTGTCTTGGATCATCCAGGAGGATTCAAACTGTCACTTGGTCCCTGAAATCAAAGAATGCTGCCTAGATCAAGTCAGAGAGACATGGCAATGGAGAGATGGCCAGAGATGTCATGTGGAGTTGGGGGTGAAGGAAGAGAGTCAGCGAGCCCCAGAAGGCGAGGTGCCTCTCGAAGTGAAAGGGCAAGGAAACAGATGTACCTGAGCCCTCCAGGAAGGAATCCGGCCCTGAGGACCCCTGATGCCAGGTGGAGTGAGGTCTGCTGGACTTCTGACATGTGTGTTTAAGTCGCTAAATGGGAATTTATTGCCACAGTAACATAAAATTAATGTTTTACAAAATATTTTTAAAGCAGTTATTAATATCTGTGAAAGCGATCATGCACATATGTCTTAGCACTGACTTTTGACTCCACAAATGCTAGTGTGTGTTTAATTTGCTACTCTTTCAAGTATGTGAACTTTATAATTTTTTGGTAGCTAATTATAACACATCTTATTAATGTAATTCTATGTTTACAAATTGGTTCTCACAGTAGAACACACTGAAATTCCCATTTTATGTTAAGAAAATGTTTCTCTTCTCTAACTTCACATATTTTCTAAATGGCAACATGCTAAGAAAACATAGACGTCTATGTTTCCAAAACAAATTTTTTTGTTCACTTATTGATCTCATCTCCACATAATTTTTATTTACAACATTAAAAATAAAATTTATCCATCACTGGCCTCACTGATACTGATGTAATTAATATTGCAACTATTTTACACTACATATTACTAAAATATGTTTCCTATGTGTTAAAATTATGTAAGATATTTATTGAGTGCTACTTCTTTCTATTTAAGTCTAATCATATTGGCCAAGTCAGCAAACCCAAATTAAGCTATTTAAAATGTTTTAGAATAAATGAATGCAGAATGGGAATTTAAGGATTAAATGAGTTTTTTTTATTGCTTACCATTTGCTTTTTCCTAAATAATCTTAGTCTATCAGTCTAAAAATTGCTTGAAGAAGACATCCAAATATTTTCTAAAGTAAAAGACTAAGTATTTTTATGTTTGATAAGTAGTATTAGATGAAACAACCTATTCATTACTGGTGTGTGTGTGTGTGTGTGTGTGTGTCTGTAGCAAAGTGGTTTCTGTAGCGAAAATCCTCCACAGTACAAATAAAAATACTGACTTGAAACTTGCATTCTAGAAAGATATTTTACAAAGTACAAAAGATACCATATTTGAAACTGTAGAATGCAAGTGTATGATATCCTACTTAGTTGTTACATTATTTTAGGTATCTGCATAAACATGCATGTTTCCAGAAAGAATTAGAATATTACTTATAATTACCCTGTAACTAATTAAACTACATTTTCCTCACCCAAACACAAGGAAACATGCTCATAGAGCAATGATTTGTGGACATTTAAGAAGGTTTGTTATTCTTTGGTTGTGAGCCAATACCTCCCCTGTCATCCCCTCACAGGCATGCAGCAAGATGGTGAGATGAGATGTAGGAGGTGTGCTGGAGAGATGACACAGCACAGTATCATCTTCATCTGACAAGGAGGAGGAAGAACAATAGAGGTCTGCCTTACCTGAGAGAAGTATCTAACAGCCTTCTGAACTTGAAGTAGGAAAGGAACACAGCTTTTACTTATTCTCCCTAAGATACCTATATTATGCAATGCCATTTATGATTTGTACGCATTTTTAAGTTGGGAGGTGAAAGTCTTTTTGTCAATTCCTCCACCTCATCTGTTCTGTAGTCTCTGCATTGGGCAGGTCCTCATCAAATGCTTGAACAAACAAGTGAGGCTCTGAAGCCTGTAATCTCATGCTTGGAAATTATTAAATAGGTAGAACTTCTCCTTACCACAGTCGGCAACACCATTTATTCTGGATCCCAGGATTTCGTTTCCGTATCTGTCAACACACCAGCACTGCCCAGCACTGCCATGGCACTGTGTTGGCTTGTAGTAGCCATCTTCATCACACAGGGGGATGTACTGTCCTGTGGGACACACACAGTTGGTGAGTAAGCTGTGCTTCGTTGTGGTAGGCACTGTTATGCATTAATATGTTCAATTCATACACATAGGGAATGTCAGCCATACTCCAGGCCAGGGTCAGTGACATCGTGGAGGACATCAGGCAAGCCCCCTGCCCTCATGAGCTGCCGTTGCAGAACAAACCACAGACATTTCATAGATGAATTTCCTTTCTCAAGTAAACTACTATCTTCCCATTTCTCTTTCTGCAAAGGATAGTGTTTTCAGAGATATAATGGAGAGTCAGAATTTGATTAATGCCATACTCCTGTCGTCACCCAGCACAGCACAGGACTCTTCACCATGTGTCTTCATCACTGCCAGCATTTTTCCATTCCCCCAAGAGTTCATTCCTATAGCCCAAGCTCTTTCTTCATCAAGTGGTTTTCCTCAACTGCAATGCTGCCACTCCTCTCTACACGTTGTTCATGTCAACTAGGATTCCTTTCCTCTCTCCTCCACTTCAAGACTAGACTTCAGTGTGATCCCCAATTTAAGGTCTTCTCTTCAGTTGGAAGTTTTTTCATGAACCTTCTGTCGTGCATGTACGTGTGTGGTTGTCACTGTGTGCTTTCCCCACTTCCTGCGATATCCTCTGTGAATGGACATATTTAGGTTCTCTCTGCTTTCATTGTTGTATGAACAATATTTCTTAAGCTCACTGTCTAGTGGGAATAATAGGAAAGACAGACATATCTCACACAGAATACAGCACATTGCTAATAATAAATGCTTAATTGGTAATTTAAAAGTGAGGCACAAAAGTGAAGTAAGGTAGTAAAAAATAGTAATGAAAAACACTAAAAAGTCTGCTCACTTTTCTGAGGTACTAGGGGATTTTTTCACCCTTTAATAGAAGTACTTGCTTTAAATAATATATATAAGTGAGTGTGTGTGTATATATATGTGTGTGTATATATATATATATACACATATATACACACACACACACACACACTTATGTGTATGTGTGTATATATATGTCTGTGTGTGTATATATATACACACAGACATATATAAAACATATTTGCCATTAATTCTTAAATTGTTAACCATAGAAGTACAATTAAATTTTCTGCTGATGTTTTAACTATAGCATTCCTTAAATCTCTTTTTTACTTAATAACTTTCAAAATGAACATTATATTATGGTAATAAAACAGACATAATATCTTTCAATAGGTAAGGTAATAAAAGTAAGTTTAATGGCTTTCAAAAAGTTCATAAATTTTGTTGCTGAGATTTAGTGCAGTCTATCTTTGTTGGATTAATATTGATTTTATGCTGCTGTTTCCCTGGGGTTATTTATGTAAGCGATAAAGCCTTCAGAAGAATGATCTATGACTCACCTAGGAGCTTCCTCACCCCTTGCCGCTTCTGAATATTGCTGAGCTCCGTCTGGCAAGGTGGGTCTGCAATGACATTAAAAATGTTACTTCAAGGATTATAGTTAAACGAAGGAAGTGGAATTTCTATATTATGGAACTTCAGTTAAGCTTTGCATGCCTCAGAAGACACATGTACATTAACTGGTCTATTTGTGAAGATATATTCATGGAGACACATAGGGGTGTGTGTGTGTGTGTGTGTGTGTGTGTGTGTGTGCGCTTAGAGTGCTCATGCTGCTTTCCTGGTTATTAATAGATCAATCTTGTTTTCTTCAGAATGCCTGCATTGGATAAAAAAAACTATGACGAGTACTTATATGATGGAAAATACTTCTTATCATTGATTTTTAAAAGGTCAGTCACCTCAGCCATGTAAACCCAATTTATTGACTGCTGCTCAAACAATTAACTGATAGCTTCCCCCCTCTTGGACAGGTTTCTATGATACCAAGAAATAGCTTTGCACTATAAAAGTCATCTATGAAAGAGTTACTCCTTCCTTCAAGTTATCTTAGAGTCCCTATTATAAGTTTTAATAATGTATAATACTGACAGACATTGGTCTTTTTAGTGTCACCCAAATATGCAATTTAGAAACAGAACATAATATGAAATAATTTCTGATAAGTGATTATTTTAATAGTAAACTTAAATCATTTAAACCAATTTGGAAATAAGCCTGCCTTTTTTCAAACTCAACCACTTAAAGGAGGACACTTGTAGAAAAGTCAAAAATAGTTTGTCTTATATATCACTGTTACGTATACAGTTGACTCTCCATGTCTGTGAGCTTTGCATTTGCATACTGAGCCAACCACCAATCTAAAATAAAAATACAAATACAAATATGGTATAACAACTATACACATAGCATTTACATTATATTAGGTATGATATGTAATCTAGAGATGGTTTATAGAAGAATGTGAGTAGGTTTTATACAGATGCTGTGCTGTTTTACAGGAGGAATTTGAGCATCTGCTGATTTAGGTGTCCATGGATGGTCCTGAGACCAATCCCCCTCAGGTAATGAGAGGCAACTTTATATAATTATATACATGTGTGTGTGTTTGTGTATGTATTCTTACTTGAAAGCAGTTTAACATATTTTATATTCATATTATGAAAACTTGCTGTTAACATGTTTTATATAAAACAGAATCATACACTATTAAAGCAACAATAATAAGCTAGCTCCTACTGTCCTGTAGTACATCTTTTTAGGGAAAAGGCAGAGTACAATTAATTCAAATAATTTAAAAATTTTTAATGTATCGACCTCAAAATATTAAATTGTATATAAGTAACAAGGTAGAATAAAACGAGATAGCTGCTTCATATATATTTTATAGTTTAATATATGAAACCAAAAGATGTCTCATCTTGTAAAACATAAAATGTGAAGAACAAATGATATGTTTGAAATTCCTGAATAATTACCTTATTATTTTACCTCATTTTGAAATTAATTCAATGGACCCCTCTGTTTTTCCTAATAATTTCATGAGTCTTTTGTATTAAAGGAATAGAAATCTATTTGCATAGCTGCTTATAAAACAGACATTCTACATTTTACTGTCCTCCAAATATGACATCTTCAAACCAAGAAGAAAAATTTCAAATTATATTGAGGCCTGGTGTGATGGCTCAAGCCTGTAATAGCAGCACTTTGGGAGGCCGAGGTGAGAGGATTGCTTTAGCTCAGGGGTTCGAGCATGCCACTGCACTCAAACCTGGGCAACAGAGTGAGACTTCGACTCAAAAAAAAAAAAGTACCATTAAATTATATTGAAAACAGTTCTTCTCGTGGCTATGGGCTAGTATTCTAATATGGTGGCTACCTGAACATCTTGATACATTTGAGGCTGGGTTGTACTTGAAAACCCAGGTATACTTGAGAGTCTGTCTTTTAATTAGTAACCTCACGAATAAACCTGATTACCAAAGCCACAAGATCTGTGTAAGGGAACATTTTAGGATTTCAAGAGAAACCATCATAAATCAGGCAGTACAATTGCATATAATATTTAATTTGAAACTATTTTCTTGTTAGTTTTAAGCCAGCCCTGTAAATTTGGCCTTTAAGCATACTTACAGCAGTTAACCGACATTTCATCTACCATTTAAACTCACTTGCAAAGAACTGCTCAAGATGAAAGGATAGTAACTTGATTATTCCTTTCAATAATTAAGTTGCAACCTAATTGTATTAAGATTTAGACAATTAGACTTTGACTATTCAGTTTGGGTTATAGGTACAAATTCATATCATAAGATTTACTTTTTCTAATCTGTGTAATACTAAGTAGTGTTTTAGGCTTGGAGGAAATTCTCATGCTATGTGATTAAAATTACAAAAGAATCATAATTTAATAAATTCTTAGATTTAATAGTTATTAGAATTTATGATTAATTGCTCTAAAATAATAAGGGAAAGAAGAATAAAAAATTATAGGATAAATTTCTAGATGTTGTTTTTAAAAAGAACATTGTTCCTTGTTTGGCATGCTGGATTTAAAAACCTACACCCTACACTGGAGTCATTCACACAGTTGATAATTTTCACAATAACAATAGTTTTATTTATCCATGCAATTTTGAACTGAATAAAATGTCATTGGTAAAAATAAGGAAATATCTATATGTTGATGATAGTTATGATAAACAAGTATTTTTCTATCCTTGCAATAGTCATTTTTTAAAAAATACAGTTTTATTAGCTGTCAACTGTATATGACAACTGAGAGTCAAACTAAAAGCAAGTGTACACTGTGGAGGTTTGTGAATGAACCTCTAGGTTGGCAGCATATGGTCGCACAGGCTGTGCACAGGACAACTCCAAAGAGGCACCACTCATTTGCACTGCAGGATCAGTGGTGTCAGGAGGTTTCACAGCAAGGCAGCCTCTCACTCCTTCTTAAGCCAACTGCCTTTGTTCACATCTTCTCAATGTTTAGTTAGTTGGATAACCTCTCACAGAGTGGATACACTTTTTAAAAAAAAACTCCAGTAGGTTTATCTGAACCACAGAAATTTTGAATATTCACAATTCCAAATTCTCTGTATTTAATGGCTTTCGTTTAATAGGAAAGACATTTCTCTTAAAATTAAAGAGTTAATCCACATGACCCATATTTGGATATCTCTTCCTGAAGATTAAATGTATAAATAACCTCCCAAAATGCCATAAATTGTCATTGAATTCCTGTTGGATAAACTAGTGATTGAAATAAGACTTACTGATGCTTTCTATACTGAATGGGACTTTCCAACAAGCTGCAGAGTGATGTCACTGTAGCATTTGAGAACAATAACCTTGGTAATTCTGAAAGCAGAATTAGAACTACTTGGAGACAGAAGCCAAAGTCTTTCATTTCAAATGAAATGAGTTTGTTCATGTACTCATTCCATACGTGTTACTTAAGATCAATAAGCATCAATCTTTAGCCACAAAATGGGAATGATCATACTGTCACAGAGCTGTGTGGGTAATAAATGATTATGTGTACATGGAAGACCAAATGGTATATAGCTATACCATCCTGAATGCATCTTGTCTTGTCTGAAAGACTAGGTGGAGTTGAATGAATGTTAGTTTTTCACTTTCTTTTAGTTAGTTTTCTTGATCTTAAAAGCACAACAGAATTTTAAATGAAACAGCAACTAATAATTGACTTACTTTTCAGAGTGGAAGTTTTGACATACTTATGAACATATGTTATTATCACTTAAGGGAACTAAAATCCCAAATTATTATTCCTTTGGCTCACTCATTCAGGATTATTTAGAATCAAGAATCCCACAGATTACAATCATATCCATTTTGCATTATACTTTGTTGTGATTTCAGAAAACTAATTATTGAAACTAATTTGCTTTTAAATTAAAATTAAAGCATTTTCCCTTGAAAAATTACAAGTATTTTACTTGCTTGAAATTTTACATTCTTAACTTCATTTATTAAAGTTTAACATTAGGCTTAATTTTATATTTTAAAAGATTGTTTTAAAAAAATTACTTTATTTGCCATATGTTTTCTGAGACTATGAAGACAGTCTTAAAAGTCCAAATTAAGTTTTCAGACAACTTGGATTAATAACTTGTCCTTCTACCCTATTTTCCCCTCTCTTTTCTATCTGCTCGCCATATATATGTATACACACACACACACACACACACACTATATATATATACACACACACTGTATACATATACACACACACACACTTAAGAATTTCAGGAAAACATTCTTTTATAAGATGAAACGTTTGAAAAACTGGTTTGTAATTTAATGGCTTTTTAAAATGAAAGTGTCTATTGACCTAAAGGAATACATAAAAACATGGTAGTATCTTACAACTGGCCCTCTCCATTCCCCTAACAGATTTTTAACTTCTTCTAGCATATTAAAGTAATGAAAAGGTGGCTAAGAGTTTAGCAAACCTCTTCTAAGCTTTAAAGAAGTTGTATAAATTCTTTTACAAGCTTGAGCACCATTTATTAAATGGTTTGTACTGTGCATTAAATGATCCCAGAGAGTAAGTCTTCATATGACTATACACATTTGGATACTTTGGGAGAATGCAGCTTCATACCTGCAAAGTAGATAAAATTTTGCTTTAGAGACCTTTAATCAATTGTATAGATACTGCTGAAAAATCCAGGAATGTTCTAAGATGAAAGTATTTATCTGTTTCTGTAGATAAAGCATTTTGCATTTTTCAGAATATTTTTAAATGTTCATGTATAAACATGCTATCATAACACAAAAACTAAAATGACATTTGTTATCATAAGGTTATGACTACACATCTTTTTATAGCAGTTTGCCTGAATTTTAGTTTTTTAGCAGTATTCAGCTACCTAGAAAATACATATATAATAGTCAACAATTGTGTGTTTTTGTATGTGTGTGTGATTTAAAATATTTTAATATCACAAATCTATTTTTTTAAACTTTGTTTAAAGAGACTTATAAATAGTTAAGCTACTCAGCTAAGCCTGTTGTGAACCCACTACTAAACAATTTATGAATAATCACTTCATCCCTAATTACTAAATTATTATTAAATGCGAAAAAGTAATTGAGATACGATAGTAAAACACTATATATACATACACATATATGTGTATGAAATCATGTGAGTTTTTCATATCAAAGACAGAAACATTGGCATACTTTATTTGTTTGAGGTTTTTTTGTTGTTGTTCGTTTTTTTGGTTTTTTTTTGAGTTGGAGTCTCACTCTGTAACCCAAACTGGAGTGCAGGTGCACACTCACAGCCACTGCAGCCTCTACCTGCTGGGCTCAGGTGATCCTTCCTCCTCAACCTTCCACGTAGCTGGAGCTACAGGCACGCACTACCACGGGCAGCTCATTTTTTGATTTATTGTAGAGATGAGGAATCACCAAGTTGCCAAGCCTGGACTTGAACCCCTGAGCTCAGGCAATCCTCTCACCTCGGCCTCCCAAAGTGCTGGGATTACAGGGTTGTCTTACCATGCCCGGCTGGTATAGTTTAAAGTAGCTTGTTCATTTTCTTATCTGTCAAGAATTTTTTTTTTTTTTTTTTTTGAGTTGGAATCTCACTCTGTCGCCCAGCCTGGAGTACAGTGGCTGCTCCCGGCCACCGCAGCCTCGACCTGCTGGGCTCCGGTGGTCCTTCTGCCTCAGCCTTCCAAGTAGGTGGAACTACGGGTGCGCGCTGCCACTCCTGTCTGATTTTTGATTTATTGTAGAGATGAGGTCTCGCCAGGCGGGTCTCAAACCCGCGGGCTTGGGCAATCCACTCACCCTGGCCTCCCAAAGGTGCGGGATTACAGGCTGAGCCACCGAGCCCGGCTTCTGTCAAGAATTTTAAAAAGCATTGACAATACCCAGTATTACTACATTAAACTAATTCCCAAGTTTTTTTTTTCTAAATTAGCATTGAAATTACACTTACCTATGTTTACTTAGTTTGCCAAAACTTTATCACAATGTGAGATGTACTGCCTCTGTTTCCCTATACATACTGAATGTCAATGCCCCTGACTGATTCTGTAAGCCTGAGTTCAATGGTATACTGTGCGAACATTTCCCAAAACAGAAGATGCACAGAGAAGTGCTGTTCCAACTCTTCACTTGCCTCACCTCTCCTGGGGTATTAAGACACTTTTTATGCTGGTGAGTTTTTAGAAAGCTAAGCTATTTCGAAAAGTTTGAAAGACTAAGTCATTTTAAAATCAAATGAGTAAAATTAACTTTATGGTGAATGCTCTGGTTCGTTTAGCTCATTTAACAAGATCACAAAATAGAACATTAAAACTCCACAGTATAGTGATAAAAAACCCATTTATTTTACACCGTGGGCAAAGCAGATAGCAAATTAATTTTAATGATTAATTTTAATATCTATATTCTTATATCTCTGTGTGCTTCTTTGTGGTTCATAATAGAAACTATAATGAAGTGCGTTAGTATAAAATATTAATTACTATTTTTCATCTTATTTGGCTTTTTTGCATCTCTAGCAGAGTTATTTTGCTCAGCATGCCACTTATTTGCTCTTTTATTAAATGCTTGAGTTGGAAAGAGTATTGAAATGAATGGGACATAGTTTTTGGGCACTATTTTTTTTTTCATGAAGACATAGATAAGATTTGACATGCAGGTCAACTATTTGCATTTGTAGGTGTGTCATTTTTTACCTTGCTGTCTCTGGAAGCAATAGCACCATTCATTGTTAGATATCAAACTGTCCTTGTATGTGTCACAAGAATTGAAGAATGCCTTGGTACATTGTTCATTCTTATCAAGGTAAATGCTTCCAAGCTCTGACTGATCCAAAAGCAGGTCATAGTTTGTATCAAGTCTGTTAAACATCCAGCCAAGTGAATCCTTGCAAATTGGCAAGATACTGGTATCAAATCCTAAAGAGAATGAAATAAAATGATTAACTAAATAATGACAGACGCCACGAGCAAAGAGCAAAACAAATCAACACAATATGTATTTAGTACAGGGAACCAGCTGAGTAATCAGAGAAGTAGGGCATTAAATTCATCTTGGGTACTTTGTTTCAAAGTAAAGTAGATCCCACTGGAGACTCTGACCTTCTTTATCTTATTCAAATTCCTAACTAAGAGGCCTGGGGATTCACGCCTGATGAGGACTCATCAGATGGGTTTTATTACCCTATTACACTGTATACTGAAGTTTGTTTAACAGTCTGACTCTGACATAGCATCACACAGCAGATAAGGAAATAAATATTTTATGACCCTACAAAGCAGTCTCTTGTGAACTCCCAGGCTTCATTCACCCTTTTCTGATTTCCAAAATTACTTAGATAGGAACTATAAGTTGCCAGTCAAGAAATCCTTGGATCCACCTTTAACCTGCAAGTCCCCACTTGGAAATGTCCCTTCTTCTCAGGCCAAACCAGTGAAAATCTCACATGTATTCATCTGTGGTTTTTATAATTTCTGCCTTCCTAAAATACAAAATACAATTAAACCACCACAGACATAAACTCTTTAGACTGAGTCCTGTGCCTGGTCAATCACAGCTGGCTCAGAATAAACCTCTTCAAGCTAATTCGGCTGAAATTGAAATTTTGCATCGACGTAGTGATATCTGCCTTTCAGTATAGTTATAAAAATTAATTAACCAGAAAGCACTTGGTACTAATTAGTCACTTACTTGATGACAACTAAAATTGTAATGATAAATTATTGGGTTGATGCATAAGTTCGTAGTGTTTGCTTTTGGCATGGCAACATCGTGGTATTGGGAGTTTATCATTTGTCATTTGTAGTGACGATATTGCGCTTCTGAGTATGCCTTGCTTTTGCAGATTTGAAGAAAGTGCTATTTGTGGGCTAACAAAGATGGAGTGTCAAGTGGAAAAAAAATGAGCACTTTTGATGCCTTCTGTTTTAGGTTAACAGAGGAGGAGTAAAGGCAGCGGAGGTGGCTCAAAACATTTGTGCCATGTACAGGAAGAATACCATCGAGGAAGGCACAGCAAGAAAATGGTTTTGTCATTTTACAAAGGGCCACTACTTTTACCTGAGTGATTCTTCATGTTCAAGAAGACCATCAGACTTTTATGAAGACTGTTTAAATGCTTTAATCCACAATGATCCATGCCACTCAACCAGAGAATTGGCAAATGTGATGAACTGTGAACAATCATTGTGCAACATTTTCACTCCGTAGACAAGCAGAAACGCTATGAATTTTAAGCATTATCCAATATTTAATTGCTCAAGCTTCTTCTGAATAAACAGTATAGCATGATAATAAATGCTTTACTAGAGATATGTAACAATTATTAAATAACATCCTATTATAGTGAACCAAAATTCATTTTCATTCATTGAAATAAAACGCCATTTTTTAAAAAAGCATAATGAACACATAATATAAGCAATACCCTTAATAATGCCCCAAAGCTTGGAAGAACTATGATGCCTTCTGCTTCTCTCAAGGCGATGTTTAAAATGACGAATGTGCTCCCCTGGCAGCCAGTGGGGTGCCCTCGGCAGCAGGCATGGAGAGGTGATGGAACTGCGTCTGTATCCAAGCCACGTGCTATGAGTGATGGGTGACCCTGAGTAAACCACACATCTCGCTAAGCCTCAGTGTGTCCAAAATAGCATCAGAGGCATTGTCAGTGTTTTGAACCATTTTTTAAAAAATGTGCTTTTGACAATTCCTATTTTCAGGATTCAGGGAGCTGAATATGTATTCTGCTGATCTAGTTGTTGTCTTATTTGCTATTTACACTCATCAAAAGTGAAAGTAAACAGATGACTCAGTTAGCTGGCATGGGAGAGAGTGGAGTTCTCTCTCAGATGTAGTAGTTAATTTTATGCTCTAGTTACACAAAATCTATTTTGGTAGCTTGCTTGCTATACGTTGAGTTATAAAATTAATTGCAAATAAAGATATGGATACTTAGCATTAAATGTTGAGTAGGTACTGACTTTAGGCAAGCGGAGGTTGAGAAATTTACAATTTCTCCACCCTTTTGAAATTTGCACTATTCATTTATTCAGAAGATATTTAGTGCTTTATATCTGTGTATCAACATATCAGGCAATGGAGATACAAAGGTAAAAGTTATACTTGTGGCATTTTCATAAAAGCATAGAAAATAAATTTCAATCTTTTTTCCTTTGTTTGCATTTTCTTTGTAAAACTGCTTGCAGAATCTCCCACTCAAGCAAACAGCAAATATCAATTGCTCATTTCCTGTTTACTGTCAAGCCCTGACCTTTATTCTGAGAATAAAATATTTTAAAAGTATAGATTAGACCCCTATTCTCTTGACACTTACTTTTAAAACAGCATGTTTTGAAGTATTCGTTTAAACTGTTCTTTAATAAAGAACTCTTAGCCGGGCTCGGTTGCTCAGCCTGTAATCCCGTGCCTTTGGGAGGCTGCGGTGAGTGGATTGCCTGAGCCCGTGGGTTTGAGACCCGCCTGGGCAGCGAGACCTCATCTCTACAATAAATAAAAAAATCAGCTGGGCGTGGTAGCGCATGCTTGTAATTCCGGCTACTTGGAAGTCTGAGGCGGAAGGATTGCCGGAGCCCAGCAGGTTGAGGCTGCAGTGACCGGGAGCGGCCACTACACTCCAGTCTGGGCGACAGAGTGAGACTCCAACTCAAAAATAAAAAAATAAAAAAAAAAAAAAAAAAAGAACTCTTATTAAAGCAACATGCAGAAAACAAATATATTAAGTTCTCTAATGTCATTCAAAGAAACCAAGTTCTTGTGAGAGCATTTTGGTGTGCCCTTGTTCCAAAGTGTACGAGTGTCTACAGGAGGGGAGAATGACCATCTAATTCCAAGGTGAAGATCTGCTGACATGCCATACGACTGGTCCTGGCACTGCCAGGGTGAGAGTTGACTCGGGAAATAGAGTTAGAGAATAGCCATGCAGATGAAAACAAAGGCTACTCTGAAGGTGCTGAAGGCTCAGACTCAGTACTGAACACAGAAGTATATGAGATGTGTGGTTACAGGGTGTGTAGGTTGAAGGAACTGCCCAGAGCAATGGGGCAGAACACCAGCAGCTAGGGACTTACAAATTTGAGCTCTCTGTCAGAGGAACGTTCGTAGGAGTGTAAAGGTAGACAGGGATGTCATTCACAAGAGAGGGAATACATTTAAAAACATCCAGATAGGATGTCTAGAGGTGAAGCATACAATAACTGAAATAAAACATTAAAACATTCGCTGTATGGTATCGAAGTACATTATACACTGCAGAAGAAAAAAGTCCACAAACCTAAAACGTGTGGTACATGTTATCCAAAATAAAACTCAGAAAAAAAAAATTGAAAAAGAAAAACCAACCCTGAGTCTTACCAAACTGTGTGACAATGTTATTTACCTTAACATATAAGTGTTTGGAGTCTCAGAAAGATACCGCAAGTGTAAGAATTCAGGAAATTATATCAGGAAATAATGACTGAAACTTTCTCAATGTGACGACTATTGCAAATACACAGATAAAAGAACTACAATTAACATTAAGCAGCAAAAAGAAAGAAAACCAAGCCAAGCCATTCCATAATCAAATTGCTGAAAGCCAGCGTCAGAAAGAAAATATTAAAAGTAGCCAGAACAACAGTAAAAATAAGACACACTTTTTACAGAGGCACAAAGATGAGAACAGCATCAAGCTTCTCCTCAGAAGCTATGAAGGTCAGAGAAAGTGGAACATTTTTAGAGTGCTAAAATTAAAAAAAAAAATTTGCCATACTTAGCCAAATTAGTTTTCAAAACTTCAAATAAAGACTTTTTTAAAAAGCAATGTAATAAGAAAGGGATTGGCAGTAGCCAGAAACTGCCAGGGGAGAAGGGTATATAATGTTAATAAGGGTGCCTGATCTAAAAGCAGGCTAAGTGGGTACCAAAGGGAGGCCCAAACTTTACCTGTACGATGACCACCTATATCCCTAATCCTAAATTGTACATCACATCTTTAAAATAAAATAAATTTTTAAAAAGAGTAGAAGGCATGAGGGAGTCAGTGCTCTCTGCTCCTCATTTTAAAAAAATGAACAAACCAAAAAAAAAAAAAGAAAAAACCAAAGTAAAGCTGAAAGATCTTATGAGTTGTCAGAATAATTTCTTGACAAAGAAGGTAATTTCCTCCCCCCTCATTTTAGTCACATTAAAAGCTGATGAGTTGCTTAGAGCAAAAACCAAAACAAATTACTATGGAGTTTACCACATAAGAATTTATATGTATGAAACACAGCACAAAGTATGGTGGGGGATGGGATGGACATGAACTCAGCAGGCTTCCAACAGCATGTGGGAAGTGGTATAATGCTATTTGAAGGTGCACTGTGATAAGTTAATGATGTGTACTGTAGCCACTAAAATATAAAATATATTAATAAACAATGATACTAGTTTTGTATTGCTGCTTTAACAGATTACCACAAAGTTTATTTCCTTAAGTAACATCAGTTTATTATTTGATAATTCTGTGGGTCAAAAGTCCAACAAAGGTCTTAACACAGAAAAGTCAAGGAGTCTGCAGCACTACATTTCTTTCTTGGGGCTCTAGGAAATAATTTGTTTCTTTGTTCAGTTAGGTTTTTGGCAACTTCCAGTTAGGTATCACCCAGATATTACTAGGCATGTGGTCTTTTTCCTCTGTCTTCAAAGCCTTTTCTTCCCTTTTTTTTCTATTTTATTTTTATTTAACTAAGGTTGGGAAAAGTTCTTCACTTTTAAGGACTTATGTGAGTAAATTGGGCCCACTCAGATAATCCAGGATAATCTCCTTAATTCAAAGTCAGGTGATTAACAATTTAGGTACTATCTGTAAACCCAATTCTCTTTCGTTATGTAATATACATATGTAAGTCCAAGTTTAGAATGTGGACACCTTTGAGGAGTC